TACAAGAATGGCAATATGGACAAAGACCATAGAAAGCTAGACTTCTTTGGCAAAAAGATATATTCCTCTTCTACCCTACAACTAAGAATATCAAACTATTCTGCCCTCTTAGTTCATGCCTTTGATAATTATTCAAAGTTGGGAGAACTGATACCACATCTCCCTGAGTCCAAAAGAGCTATCTTGAAAGCAATAGTCCACGAAGGCCATACCATCGCTCGCACTGCCCTCCAAACGGCAATGGATGTTGCTGACACAGCAGCTAGGACTACAGCTACGGCGATAGTCATGCGCAGAACTTCCTGGCTACAGTCATCTGGAGTTCCCCGAGAACTTCAGCCCAAAGTAGAAGACTTACCATTCGATAAACAAAAATTATTTGCAACTTCTACAGACAAAATACTACACAACAGTAAGAACTCGAAAACCACACTTCGCACACTGGGCATGTACACACCGCCTTTCAAACGCAGACGATACACCCCATATAACACGTACAATCGCTACAGATATGGGCAATACAACCGACCACAGAGACCCTATGAAGATACTAGGCCAAGACAACGACCTCAGAGAAGGCGCCCTAATCAAGGCCACCCACCAACCGCTCAGTCCTCCAAGCAGCAAATTTGAAGAGGTGGTCGAGGGTCTGCAATACCTCCCTCACGATCTAGCAATAATGCAACATGGCCATCTGTTTACCCACCGTTTGCGGCCGTTCCTCCCACAATGGGAATCTATAACATCGGACCGCTGGGTTCTAGACATAATTCGAGTAGGATACACTATCCCATTTACCACTACCCCACCTACCCTACCCCGTCCCTTTTCAGGGACCCCTCTCACGAGACTCTACTAAGACAAGAGATCGATCGACTCCTTTCAGTCGGAGCCATAGAAAGAGTACCAGTAGACTTTCACGGGAAAGGGTTTTACTCGAACTATTTCTTGATCGAGAAAAAAACGGGGGGTTGGAGGCCCATATTAGACCTCTGCAAACTGAACAGGTTTCTCAGGAAACAACGCTTCAAAATGGTCACACTTACAACAATCATTCCTGCGCTAAATCAAGGGGACTGGTTCGCAGCCCTCGACCTACAAGATGCATACTTCATGTAACTATCCATCCTGCCCACAGACGCTATCTACGCTTTACTCTCGGCCCGGATCATTTCCAATACAATGTCCTCCCCTTCGGCCTCTCGTCGTCTCCGAGGGTATTTTCAAAGGTGCTAGCAGTTGTCGCTGCGTACCTCAGACGTCAAAATGTCATCATATTCCCCTACCTAGATGACTGCCTTTTAAAGGGCTCAACACAGGATGAAACCGCCTCCATGATAAGTACGACCACATCCCTCCTCAATCGTCTAGGCCTTCTACTCAACAAAAACAAATCAACACTGCACCCAGTTCAAAATATGGAGTTCATTGGGGCACGTCTGGACTCAATCACAGCCCGAGCATACCTACTTCGACAACGTTTCATAACTATACAAGAAATTATAAGCGTAATGTTTACAACTCCTACCACTACAGCTCTTACTTGTCTCCGACTAATGGGTCACATGGCTTCCACCACCTACATCATCCACCATGCTCGTCTGCATTTCCGATGCTTCCAACTCTGAATAGCAAGTGTGTACATACCGTCATGACACTCCCTCAACAAGACAGTGACTAGTCCACCAAACGTTCTTGCATCCTTACGATGGTGGACGATACCGAACAACCTCCTCACAGGTGTTCCATTCCAACAGATCGAACCCACTGTACAGATTACCACAGATGCTTCCCTCCTTGGATGGGGAGCACATATGAACAATCAAGGGGTTCAGGGAAGGTGGTCCCCATCCGAGGCACGACTACACATCAACCTCCTCGAACTACGGGCAGTAAGGAATGCCTGCGCACACTTCGCCTCCAACATTGCCAATCAGACGGTCTGCATCCTGACGGACAACATTTGCACAATGTTCTATATAAACAGGCAAGGCGGAGCCCGCTCCCGCTCCCTCTGTGCGGAAGCTATCCGCCTGTGGAACTCATGCATCCGCAACCATGTCACTCTGATAGCATCCTACCTGCCCGGGGTGAACAACACCAGAGCAGATTCACTCAGCCGCAACTTCACCTTGGATCACGAGTGGGAGTTACACATGGAGGTTGCAAACTCAATCTTCAACCAATGGGGATGGCCATCCATAGACCTTTTTGCATCTACCCAGAACGCCAAATGCCCCCAGTTCTGCTCACGCGCAGGACTTGGCAAACATTCCCTGGGGGATGCCTTTCTAATCAAATAGACAGCCCCCCTACACTATGCCTTCCCCCCCATACTGCTAATCCCAAAAACCTTACGCAAGATCCGCAGAGACGGAGCCCTAGTCATCCTAATAGCCCCGTCGTGGCCCCGCCAGACTTGGTACCCATACCTGCACAGGCTAGCGGTTCACCCTCTTTACCTGCTACCTCACCGTGTAGACCTAATATCTCAAAGCAATGGAACAATACTGCACCCACAGCTCCACACCCTACACCTTCAGGCTTGGCTACTCTCTGGTTCTCGGAGATAGAAAATCCTTGTTCTCAGCAAGTGAAGGACATCCTCCTCCACAGTAGGAGACAGTCCACTCGAAAAACTTACCTGCAAAAATGGACACGATTCTCTCACTGGTGCCAGCGAACCAAGGTAGAACCCCGTGTCGCCCCACTAAATACGATTTTGGACTACATTCTAGACCTTAAAGTGTCAGGACTGTCAATCTCTTCTTTAAGGGTCCATCTTTCTGCAATAACAGCGTTCCATACTTTCATTGATGGCTTCTCCATATTTGTCCATCCTATCACTAAAAGATTCCTTAAAGGGCTCCACAACGTATACCCACCCTATAAGACACCCCCCCCTTATGGGACCTAAATCTTGTTCTCCACCACCTCACCAGACCTCCTTTCGAGCCTCTGGCTACAGTACCACTCCCCTTTCTCGTTATGAAAGTCTGCTTCTTATTAGCTATCACGTCCGTCAGACGGGTGAGTGAAATTGGAGCATTAATGGCAGAACCCCCCTACACAGTTTTTACGAAGGATAGGGTCATACTTAGACCTCACCCAACATTCCTGCCAAAGGTCTGTACAGAATTCCATGTCAATGAACCGATCGTACTACCTACCTTTTTCCCAAAACCGCATGCATCACAGAAGGACGCCACTCTGCATACCCTGGACATTCGGAGGGCTCTCGCCTTCTTCCTGGAAAGAACAAAACCATTTCGTAAATCCGAAAGGCTTTTTATATCCATCGCTGAACGTTCAAAAGGAACACCTCTATCATCACAACGAATCTCAAAATGGATCTCGACATGCATAGTCAAGTGTCATACCTTGGGCAATAAACCACTACAGTGCCCACCAAGAGCACATTCCACTCGAGCCACGGCTGCTTCTACAGCCTTTCTGAACAATGTCCCCTTAAGGGATATTTACCGAGCAGCAACTTGGTCTTCAGACCACACTTTTGCCAAACATTATGCAATCCTACCGCAACTTAGACATGACTCAGCAGTAGCTACAGCGGTGCTCTCTACTACCGCTAAACATTGACTCCTGCTCCCTCCAGCCATATATTGAATACTGCTTGGTAGTCACCTAGAGTGGAGCACCCACGGGGACACTGCTCAAAGAAGAAAAGGGAGTTACCTCGTGCAGTAACGAGTGTTCTTTGAGATGTGTGTCCCCGTGGGTGCTCCACGACCCTCCCTTCCTCCCCTCTGCACGGAGTCTAAATTACTCGGGCGGAGATGAGGAACTGAAAGGGAGGGGGTTGAGCCGCGCGCTGCAGAGGGCAGGAAGGGCTCGAGACGCCTTCTGAGCATGCGTGGCTCAACAGGGGGGAAACTGCTTTACAAAGCTCCGATCTGCGGCTCAGGGCGACCCTTCACCTAGAGTGGAGCACCCACGGGGACGCGCATCTCGAAGAACACTCGTTACTGCACGAGGTGAGTAACTCCCTTGTCCTGTGGCAACTTAGGGTACGTCTACATTTGCACCCTAGTTCGAACTAGGGATGCAAATGTAGGCGATGGAAATTGCTTATAAAGCGGGGATTTAAATATCCCGTGCTTCATTAGCATTATCTGGCCCGCGTGCTCTTCTGTTGCCCCCTCCTGCCCCCCTCATGCTGTCTGTATCAGAGAAACAGCAAGGGGGGGAGCATGAGCTGGTCTGGGAGGAGCCAACTTAAAAGTTGGTTTTCCCCCACCCACCCCCAGCACCAGCTCTGTGAGGGGGGACAGTGGGGAAACGGCGCGAGCAGGGATTGAAACAGTCCTGCTAGCGCTGTTCCCACTGCTGCTCCTCTCCCTTTGGAATGTACAAGAGCCACAGGCATTTCAAAGGAAGAGACACAGAGGGGAACCCATGCCAGCGGGGACTGCTGTGTTTCCCACTGGCACAGGTTCCTACTGCCTCTCTCCCTTTGAAATATATAAAAGCTGTGGGAGGCTCATATACATTACAGAGAGAGAGAGAGAGAGGCAGAAGGAACCCACTGTGTCGCTCCCTTTGAAATATACAAGATCACTGAGTGGTTCCTATATGTTCCAAAGAGAGGCACAGTGGGGTAGCGAGCGCCTCCCCTTATTGACTAATTGAGTAGCTGATGGAAATTCCATTGACTATTCCAATTGGCTGATTAATTGAAATTTAACATACCTAATCAGAGGAAGGCCTTGTTAATGTCTAAGGTGGCACAAGGCTACTCAGTGTTGTTAATATATCAGTTACTAAATTTTTCCATCACTACTTACCATGAAACTGGTCTTGCTTTTAGTCATAAGCATTTCTGCCCTACAATAAGGTACTTTGGTGGGTAGAAATCTCATTATTTTCAAACTGTAAATTGTGTCCTGTGTGTTGTGATTTAAATGTTACTTCCTCTTTTATGTGGTGTAAAAAGACAAAGGAGGTATTTTGCTATTCCTTGACTTATTGTATGTTCATAGGATGGGATTGAACCAATGTGGGAAGATGAAAAAAATAAACGAGGAGGACGATGGCTTATTACACTAACTAAGCAGCAGAGACGAAATGACCTTGATCGTTTCTGGCTAGAGACAGTAAGCTCTATGGCACTGCATTTTAAAATTTAAGATTCTTATGTTTAATGGCTAATTACAAGGGTTTTCCTCTTTGGCAATGCTAAAATCTTTCATGGCTTTCTATTCTTACAAAAATATTGTTGTGAAACACGAGATACACTAATGATGCTCGAACATGTCATTTGAATTAAGGCAAGAATAAAAGGCTACATATTACGTTTAAAGGTGACTTGCAAATGCTTTTAAAAAAGGGAACTGTTAGGATGTGCTCAATGACAATCATAGAGGTAATTCTGCACACAACTGATTATCCCTCTAACTCGTGATTTAGAGTATTTGTCATAGTTTTCAGTTACTGATTAAGTTTAATTATTTTCATCTTGTCTCCAATGTTTATTATTAAACTTAACAAATGTATCTGTTTTACTTACATTTTATATTCCTAAAAGTTAACACATGTAAGGGAATTGGCTTAAGCATTTGAAATAAAATTCTGCACACAACTGATTATCCCTCTAACTCGTGATTTAGAGTATTTGTCATAGTTTTCAGTTACTGATTAAGTTTAATTATTTTCATCTTGTCTCCAATGTTTATTATTAAACTTAACAAATGTATCTGTTTTACTTACATTTTATATTCCTAAAAGTTAACACATGTAAGGGAATTGGCTTAAGCATTTGAAATAA